AGGAGGAGGAGGAGGAGGAGGATGGCGAGGAGGATAGGGTTTTTTTTTTTTTTTTTAATCAATCAATCAATCAAGAAAAAAAATACGAAAAGAACGAAAAAAAAAAATCAATCGAATCACTGGATTCGATTGGATCTTGATATTGCATCATTATCAAGATCCAATCAAATCCACTGATTCGATTGGATTTTTTTTTCGTTCTTTTCGTTTTTTGAACTTTTTCGTTCTTTTCGTTTTTTATTGATTGATTGATTAATTGGTTGATTGATTGATTGATTGATTGATTGATTGATTGATTGATTGATTGATTGATAATCAGACTTGCACTCTCACTCTGCGCTCACACACACACACACGCTGCGCGCTATCTACAACTATGGCGGGGTACCGCCACTACCACTACCATTGCTACACTGCCCACTTCGACTTCCGGCCATCTGCATACCTATTCGACTTCGACTTGGACTTGGACTTTTTTTTATGTCAATCAATCAATCAATCAATCAATCAATCAATCAATTAATAAATCAATCAATCAAATCGATTGATTCAATCGGATCTTGATTTAAAAATCAAGATCCGATTGAATCAATCGATTTGATTGATCGATTGACTTGATTGATTGATTGATTGATTGATTGATTGATTGATTGGAGGAGGAGGAGGAGGAGAAGAGAACCACGACGAGGAGGAGGAGGAGGAGGAAGGAGAAAACAAAGAGGAGAGGAGGAAAAGAGGAGGAGGAGGAGGAGGAGAAGGAGGAGGAGGAGGAGGCTGGCGAGGAGGAGGAGAAGGAGGAGGGAGGAGGAGGAGGAGGACGAGGAGAAGGAGGAGGAGGAGGAGGAGGATAGCGGGAAGGAGGATAGTGTTTTTTTGTTTTTTTTTAATCAATCAATCAATCAATCAAGAAAAAAAAAACAAAAAGAACGAAAAAAAAAATCCAATCGAATCAGTGGACTTGATTGGAACTTGATATTTGGATCGTTATCAAGATTCAATCGAATCCACTGATTCGAGTGGATTTTTTTTTTCCGTTCTTTTCGTTTT